TTTTTCTTATCATTCCCTTTTGTTTCTGCTCCTCCAACAATGGCCATAACAAACTCTATTATGTCACTTTGCACTACTATTTAGCTCTGAGTCCCAATGTCATTGGATAATTTTGGATTAGCCTTTTAATCTTTTCTTCTCTTTTCTCTTCATTGCCATCGTGAGTCAATGAAATTTGGTTCTTCTGCACATGACAGCTTACAGTGGCTTCTGTTAAAAGCTTCAGCCTCTGTCATTGTAAGTCTTTGATTTGTGCCATGGGCAGTGAGGTATAAGGATTATGCTTTCCATGCAGAAAAAGAACAGTAGGGCGTCTCATGGTTATTAAAAATTATACCTTTCATTTCCTGAGAGGACCAGTGGCTGCCTTGGCAATGTTCAAAGTTTCCAGCAGGGGTAACTGGAAACGCTCACCAGTGGTACATTTCTGGCAGCTGAGAGTGAGGAAGCACTAAAACTGCGATTTTGATGATGGGTGGCAATTACAAGGTGTTTTTGGTCTAGTTTTTCGAGGAAAGTCTAGGGAAGATTCCTTCAGTAGCGTGAATAACAGCAGTTATGGATCCCAATGGGTGGACTGAGTGTTTTTGAAAGATGGCATTCCATAAAATTCTATTGAGGGTTTGTGGCTGACTTCCAAAGTGAACTGCTGCTTTATCACACATTTATTGCTGTTGAGTTTAGCTGCACAATGCTCCTGCCAATCTTGTGCTTGTAAATGTAAATATAGCATGTAATTTAGGTCAACTTTCTTAGTTAAAAAAATGTTATGAAATTCTCATAAAAATTAATGTCACCACCTCCAAAATAACAGACTCTTTTTGCATCAAAAACTCTCGTCCCATGAAAAAGAAAACCTGCAATTTTCTTTTGAATTAGATGATATTTTTGAAGTTTGCTATTAAAAAAGGAATACTTTTTAAATTCAGGCTTACTGATTACAAATATTATGCCCAGGGTTGAGAAATCATTTAGAATATAGGCTATAGGTGAAAATTTTTGTCCTAAATATATCACCAGCAAATAAAATCAAGTAGTATATTAAATGCTATACCATGATCAATTTGGGTTATTCAAAGAATTAAAAAATGGCATTAGATTAGGAAATTTATTTACTACATCACATTTGTAGATTGAAACATTGCTGGCCTTGCTTACTAAGCCTGTTTTCTTCTCCCTCCCAGGCACACATCTACAGTTCTCAGCCTCCCTTGCAGTTAAGTATGAGTTCGGGCAAATGGAATGTACCTGGAAATGACGTGTGCCACTTTCCTCTCTGACCCATAAAACTTTTCTTGTGCAATTGTTTGCTCTCTCTTCTTCCACCTGCTGGCTGGGTGCAGAGAATCCTGCTGAAGAACCTGAATTCCTAAACTAGGGCACAGTCACACAAGATGAAAATGGTGGGCCTTGAGATAAACACTGGGAAGGCTACCTCAAGAAAACTCGCACCTCACTGTCATTGAATGATAATTGTTTTAAGCTACTAAGGATTTTGAGGGTTGTTTGTTACAGCAGTTAGCTTACCTTTACTAATACTGATAGCAAAAGGCCTTTGATAAAATTCAACGCCTACTGCTAATTTTAAAAAAATTGTAAATTGAAATAGGATTCTTATTAACTTGTTAAAAATATCTATCTTGGGGCTGGCCGAGTGGCTCAGTTGGTTAAAAGCGCGAGCTCTGAGCAACAGGGTCACCGGTTTGATTCCCACATGGGTCAGTGAGCTGCGCCTGAGCTGAGCTGCCTTTGAGCTGCCAACAGGTGGCAGGATGGCTCAGCTGGTGCAAGCACGTGCTCCTAACAACAAGGTTGCCGGTTCGACTCCTGAGTGGGATGGTGGGCTATGCCCACAAGCAACTAATATTAAACATGGCACCTTGAGCTGAGCTGCTCTGAACTTCAGAAAGGCAGCTAGATGGCTCAGTGGTTAGAGCATGCGCTCTTAGCAACAAGGTTTCCGGTTCGACTCTGGCATGGAATGGTGGGCTGCACCACCCACAACTAAGATTAAACACAGCACCTTGAGCTGAGCATCTGCGAGCTGCCTATGGGCAGCCAGATGGCGACTGGACTTGGAGCTGTGCTAGCTGCGCCCTCCACAATTAAGATTGAAGGACAACAACTTGGCTGTTCCCCTTCCCCAATCCCCCAATAAAATCTTTAAAAAATATATCTATCTTATATCAAATGTCAACATTGTTCTTAATTATAATGTACTATAAGAATTTTCATTTAAATAAAGAAAAAGACAAGGATGTCTGCTGCTACCACTGGCTGACTCCAAGTTCTAGCTAATAAATAAGAAAATCAAACTTTCATTATTTGAGATGAAAACATAATCCACATAGAAAATCCAGGAAAATTCAACTATAAAATTAGAGCAATTAAGGGACTTGAATAAAGTCATCTGTTCAAAAATAAATATTAAAAATTAATGTTCTGTATATGACCTTTAAAAAGTAAGTTATATATCTTCAAATATGTATAAAAGAATTGTAAAAAGGAAGACACTCTTAAAAAGAATGCAGATTAAAAAATGCTCTGTGTTAGGGGGCCAGATGGACCCATGTCCTTTTGGGGAGTCCACTTCATAGTTGATGTAGAGGCCTGACCACCGCATTGTATTTCTGAAACTGATGTTGAATAATACTGTATGTCAACTATAATTATATATACATATAACCTCGGGACACGGAGTAGAGTGCGGGAATGGATTCAATGGAATTGTAATAGATAAGAATGATATCGGGGGTGGGAGGGCAATAGATGGGGGGAGGGGGGCTGTTACCTGGTGAGGGTGAAAAGGGTAACTATTGCATTGTTCTGTCACCTGAAACTAACAATAAAAAAAAGTGCTCTGTGAAATTAAAAAATATAATAGCCAAAATAAAAATTCAATAGAAATTTACAAGTGGGAGAAATTTTCTTAGAAAGAGAAAATTCAGATATGGACAAAAAGAGAGGAAGATGAGAAAATTGGAGGAGCTGCCCAGGATGCCTACTATCTGATTCTAAGGAATTCTGGTGGAAAAGAGCAAGCAGAGGAAGGGAATTATCACACACCTGACTAAAGATCACAACACTGAACTGAACGGCTAACCTACAGCCCACGCTTTATTCAGATTTCCTTCACTTTTATCTAACATACTTTTTCTTTACTAGTCTACCACATTGCATTTAGTCGTCATGTCTTCTTAGACACCTCTTGCCTGGGACAGTTTCTCAGCCTTCGTTTTTGATGATCTTGATAGTTTTGAGGAATACTGATCAGTATTAAAATGTCCACCTGCTGGGCTTTATCTGATGTTTCTCATGACTGGATGAGGCTATGGATTTGGGAGAGGAAGATTAAAGAAGTCAAGTGCCATTTTCATCACATCATATGAAGGATACATACTCTCATGACTCACCACTGTGGATGCCGACCTCCCTCACACGGCTGAGGTAGTTTTTCTCCACGGTGCAAGTTATTCTCCCCCACCTTCTTTCCCTGATGTATTATTTGGAAGGAAGTCACTATGTGCTGCCCAAACTTAAGGAGTGGAGAATTATACTGCACCTCTAGGGCAGGGAATCTACATAAATCAGTTGGATAAATACGTAGGAGTGTCATTGCTGGGTCAAATGGTAAGACCATGTTTAGTTGTGTAGGAAAACTCCTCAGCTGCAGCATTTTACATTCCCATGAGCAGTGAATGAGCATTCCTATTGCTCTGTGCCTCACCAGATAATTGCTATTGTCAGCTTTTAAAATTTATTTTAATCATTGTAATAGGTGTATAGTTGTATCTCGTTTTCTTGATCTTTTTTAAGTTACATGAATATAACAAATCTACGCCTGGTAATTCAGGAGTAGCTCTGGCTGTTTTTCTCTTGTCTGATGTTTGTGGCAATTCTCGTTCCTGTATTGGGTTTTCGCATGCCTCGTTATGTTTCCTTACGTGATGGGCATTGTATTTGAAAAGTATTTGTAGAGTATGTAGGACGACGTTTTGTCCTCCAGGAAAGATTTTCACCTGCTTTTGCCTGGTGCCTGAGGGTCCTACTGATACAGAACTACCTTATACTAGTTTCAGGGTTAGAGATTTTTCTAGTCCACCCAGATAACTTGAAGCAGGGTTGCTTTTCTTACAGTTCATCTCACTCCTAGAATACATCCCTCTGAGGTTACAATTCTAGGTGTAGAGTGGTGTGCCAGACTCCCTTCCCCTTGTCTTCCAGACTTTGAAGCAGTTAATAGCACTGTGTCCCCTCTCAGCCACCTTTCCCAAATCATCAAATGCTCCCTGGGCAAAAAGAGCTCCAAATCTTGGGCTTGGCAGTGTGAACCTCTCTCCTCCTAGATCATAGCCTGGCTATTTCTCATTATCTTATTAGGTTTTTATTTTAATGTTTTAAGGATGACATTATTTTATTTCCCACTATCAAGAATGAAAGCACAGTCCTGGGTTCCCTTAGCTTCACCCAATACCCCAGGTTTCCCTATCACTTTAAAAAATTGTGGTATGCAGCAGGGCCCCCAGTTTGATTCACAGCCCGAGCTGAACTGCCGCTGAGCTGCCAACAGGTGGCCGATGGCTCAGCTAAAAAAAAAAAAAAAAAAATTTATGGTAAATATGGCTGTATAATTTATACTTTGGGAAGAAATAAAATAAAAAAATATAAACAAATAAAAGTAATAAAAACATAAACAAATAAAAAATAAAGAATCTGACTGTATTCTCCTTTTCAAGTTAAAATGAAGCTTCTGGCTTATTAGTCATTGAACCACTGATCTGAAAAATTATACTACTTCCTGGGCCAGGACCACGATATATAACACAGAATAAATCTTTTATATAAAGAAAATTTTATTACTGAAAAGATCACACAAAACAAAGTTTTTGTATACAAAGTTAACAAACGTGGAAAAGTTAATATTTACAACATTTTCCATACAGTACATGATAATTTTCTTTTTATGCTTTAACAGAATGCTAAATAGAGGGGAAAAAAACCCAAAAGCATCAGAAAACCTGTTCAAGGAATAATGCTTAATTGGAAACAAAATTTTAATATTTTAAAGTATGTCATGTAAAATACATTTTGTTTTATCAGGACTACATTTTTTTTCCATTTGATTGGCACTAATATTGCTAACATACTTTTTTAATGTTCAGCAAAATCCTATTTAAGTGCAGAAATTAATTCTACATAATGTCTGAGAAAGACACTGCACAAATACAAAGCATCTGTACTATTTAAATGTCAAAACACGAAAGTTAAAACAAAAGTATAAGCAACTGTAAATGGTCATAATAATACAGTCTTGGGTGGTCATGAAACATTAAAAACAGAAAATTGATTGCACTTGGCTTAGTTTATAAAAGAGTAATGTTTCATCTACTAATCCTTCAGGACATTTTCTGTTAAAAATACAGAAGGATCAGCAAGCAGCATAATACAATCAACATTGGATTCAATAAGCACCTTATTTCAGTTGCATAAGAAAGCTGTGAAATTCCTGAAATAATGAGACTTTATAAAGTTCACACACTGAAGATGATAAGGTAGAGTAATTGGATTTTTTTAAAGCTAAATACCCATTATAACACCTTTTGGTGTATCAACTATTTTTTTAAACTACAAAAGAATACTATTTTTCAATTTTCTTAGAAATTCAGTGTAAAAGCTACCAAAGTAGTGCCAAGATATCAGAATAACATAATAAAAATATTTGAATAGATTTTCCAGGATTTCTAAAAAAATTCAAATATATATCAACTTATTTTAAAATATATAAAAAAGATACAAGGATGTTTTAAATACTTCAGCAAAGAAAAATCTTAATTCTATAGCATAAAAGTGAAATAGCATTGTACAGCTTAAAATACTTTTAACAAGAATAGAATCTTCATAAATAGAAAAGAAGATTCCTCTAATTCCATCCTCCCACACAATTTAAAAAATATTATTAACCTGCACATTCTGTTTTTCAGGTATATTGTTGTCATTGACCTCTATGTGAAATGAATCATATTCTCAGAATCGATTGTTTCCAGTGTAACAGCAGGCAATGTAGCTCTAAGTGCAAAAGAAGAAGAGAACAGTGATTCTTATAAGACCATGGACTGGTCACCTCCAGTGTAACACAAGTCCGCTTCCCAGTAACGGAATAACCTGGTTTTCAAGTATCTGAGTGACTGCCTGTGACTCCCTGCTCTTTTCTAGCTCCCAAAGCCGAGTGAACGAGCAGTGATGTGGAGCCTTTCAGGCTGCTTGGCTCTGAAGAACCGGGGACCCGCAAGTTGTTGCTCTGCATCTGGCCGGCTGCAGTCACATCGCTTTTAGGAGTTACCCTGAGTGGAAGAGGGAAATGTGACACACATATTGAATACATACCAAAGCCCAAATGTGATGCCAGATGTCCTTAGGACTGCTATCCACTTTTCATGAGTTTTACTCCCAACCAGTGTCCTTGTATCAAAGGATAATTAACTAAAACTCTTCATGTATACGCTAATACCTCGACACACAAATAACTGATTTTCAAATACACTTTTTGATAACTTTTGTCAAGTACCACCCATGCCCATATGGGCTGAACACAGTGTCTCATGGGGAATACACTTAATGAGACAGGATTCCTGCCCTCAGCTTAGCAAACATTTTATTGATTTCTCACCATGGATCAGACACTGTATAAGCCGGTGGGAACACAAAGATAAGTAAGACCTCAGCTCTCTCGTTAAGGAGTTTATAAATCTTGTGGAGGATAAAAACATGTATCTAATTACAATCCAGGAATGCAGAAGAGAAGGTGCACTTAAGCCTCATTTGGAAGGGTGAGTGAGGTAAGACAAACCTTGGGACCTGAAAGTAGTTAGTTGTCAGCATTCTGGTTAATTTGATGCTTACCTGTGTTTGGGTCACCTATGACTATTTGGAAATATTCATTAAAGATGACGTCAGCATCCTTTCATGTTCAGAAAGTAAAAACATAATCATCTTTGCATAAACTGACAGATGCCTTTTAGACACTACTGGAATGCAGTACTAATTAGAACTTAGCCTATATTTCAGATGAATCTTAAACATTTACCTAAACATACATGCAACTCTTAACAATTGCCATAGGAGTAAACACTACTGTTCCACTTGAACAACGTACATGAAGGCTCTTCTCAAAGCTAAGAATTAAACTACAAAACAGCATATTTATAGGTTGAACTTAAACTTCTTAAAGCCAAACTCCTTTGGATTAAGTGCATAAACATATCTCATAGAATGCCTTCTTTCAAATGTGTTCTGCTTTAGTAAAAAATGTACAACACAGTGTTCAGGACAGTCTGGGTTGAAGATAAAATAAAAACTCACCTTCCTTCGCTCCGCCCACTTTCAGACACACTGCTCTTGTCGTTCACGTTGCCTGCCCGGCCTTTCCTGTCAGCCTGTTCCCCACAGAGCTTGGAGCTGGATACTGCTGGTGAGGCAGGTTCCCCACAGTCCTGTTCTCTTGTTTTGGGGGTGCTCACTCCGTCTTCTCTCACTTCCCTCACTGACGTTTCTGGAGAGGTTTGGATTTCTGGCAAAGTGTCTTGTCCTAAGTAATCGTGGTTAGTGATTGCTACCTCAGAAGTGCCATGATTTGCCGAAGCTCCTGTGCTGGTTCCCATGGATTTGGAAATGACCTTCAGCTTATGTGAACTTGGTTTGTAGTGCTTCTTTTTGTGTTTAACTTTCGAATTGTGCTTTAAGAAAAACTCACACGACTCCTGTAGTACTCTTCGACTTTCACTGATTGGACTGTAAAAAAATGCAAGGAAACAATTTACTTGATAAAAGTTTACATTATAGTAGAAGCCATAAAACATATCACCTATCTTGTGCTAAAAATCCTTATTCAATATAGTTAGAAATTCTATAAGATTTACATTATTTATAAAGTCTGGGATTATAAATACTTTGACATATAAGTAGATTGCCATAAAGTGAAATCTTTTCTGCATTACAACTAACAGTGCAACTAACACTGTTAGTGCAACTAACAGTGTTAGTTGCTTTTGTCAGCATAAATAGTAGAATGGTAAGGAATTAAACAGGCAAAATCAAATAATAAGGGCAAGGAAATGAAATCAGTGTAAAGTAGGGGACTACCTATATGTATATCATATATAAGTATATAAAAGTAAACCAGAAGAGTGAGGACACAAAATATAATTAGTGGTCTTTGCTTAAATTCAATTGTTTTCTTTCTAACATTAAAGTTAGCAAATTATACTGAGGTTGGTGTGGGTATGTAAATATGGGATAGACATATAATAATGGTGTAAAAAATTTAAAGTCCAGTTAAATGCAGTTCTTTAGACTTCAAAAATTTATTTGTGAAAAGGTCTACAGTTCTGAAATTTTTACCACAAAAAAGTTCATTAACCAAACCAATGGGAAACAGTTTTAAAAACTCCATTGTATACTGTTGATAATACATAGTACACAATGTATGCAAATAACTAACGTGAACTATTTACTCATAAATGTAAATCTACTATACTGTTACAGGCTATTAAAGAAGTTTGAATTTTTACTATCTTAGGCAAGGCAAATAAATGAAATTTTAAGTCAACACCTATGTGTAATAAAATTTAAAGATAATAACTAATGATAACACATCACATCTGAATCATACTTGATCGATTTCCTTACATATATCTGTTCCCATTTAATCTTTTATCATTGCTAAGGCAGGATCAAATTATTAAAAGCACTACACTCAAAATAATGAATCTAATGAAAACAATAATATTGGATATATTATAAGCCATGGAGAGAAAATGCACATTTTACAAATCTTCCATTCAATTTCAACAGAATAGTGTAAGTCAAAGACTATTATAATGCATGCCAAATAAAGTATCTCTCTCCATGAAAAAGATTTCCAAACTTGAAAAAACAGTTGATACAAAAACACTCCAAAATCACTCCAGTTCGATGATAATTTGAATAGTTTCTTTATATTTGATCTATTTATTTTAAAACAATGTCAGATAATTCAATAGGTTCTTACTCTCTCTTGCGATTTCGTTTAAAAAACCCAGCCCATTCTGTGCATGTCTTTTTGCTTCCAACCCAGAAGACGGCAGAGATGCCAACAATTAATGTCATCAGATATTTTATCATAAATAAAGCCAATTCTGGTCGACTTTCTGTTTTTGCCTATAAAAAACAGTAATAAAATTTCAGTGATACATTCAAAGTAGAGAGAAGTCTATACAGTTAATGTCAGACTTGAACAAAAATATAAACCTTCAGTCTGTTTTATTATAAAATGTTTAATATAACATAATATAATGAATAATGCTTTACGTGTAATACATTCCTTACCTAAGCTCCGAACAAAGAACCTTTATATGTGTGTCAAGATATATAGCTAGAAAAGGAAAAACACTTAAATATATTTAGGAAGGATGTCATTCCTAATCTTGGCTTGATTTCCTGACCTTGTTCCTCTAGAAGTACAGAAGCGTCTCATAATTGCCAAATATTTGCCACTAAATATTTATCTATTTTCTTTCACTTTACCACAAAAAAAAACATTGAGACTCATTATTACAACATACCATTTTAGAGTCTTTACACATTGTTGATGTTTATGTTATAAAAACTTGGCTCATTACAGCAAAATAAATATCAGTAAAATGTGAAAATGTGGAAATTTCATAAAATTTATTCATACTTTTCTTTCAAGCATAAACTTTCAAATATTATTGCTTAAATGTTATACAAGTGTCAAATAGTATACATTTTGTATTATATCTTGTTTTCACTTACTAATATTTCTTGGAGACCATTCAATATCAATAAAAATAGAGGTCTTCATTTATGTTTAAAGGCTATTCCATTGTGTAGGTGAATCATGATTTATTCAACTACCTCTATTAATGGATATTTAGGTTATTTTCAACCTACTGCCATTACAAATAATGTTGCAGTGAGTATCTTTGTACGTAATCGTTCACATTGTGAGCAGATCCGTCAATAAATTCCCATAAGGGCAGGATCAAAGAGCATGTACATTTTAAAAGATGTCAAATTGCTTTCTACAGAAGGTTGAACTAATTGAATAGCAAAGTCTAAAGTCTGAGAATGCATATTTTGCCAGTTTCACCAACACAATGGCTATACAGCCTTTAGATGTTTGCTATGTCATAAATAGAATATAATTTTATTATCATTTTAATTTGCATCTCTTACAACATTTTTTACATTAAGCAAAGCTTTTTGATTTTCACTTTCTGTGAATGCTCTTCACAATCTTTTTTCATTTTTATATCAGATTGTTGGTTTTTTTCTTATTGATTTATAGGAACTCTTTATAAATTAAGGAAATTAGCCATTAAACTATGATGTAATGTGTGAATAAGTTTTGCAAGTTGGTTTTCTGACTTTGATTATGGTGGGGTTTTTTTTGCCATGCAGGACCTTAAAAAAAATTTTTTTTTTTACTTCGTCAAATTTAGTACTTTTCTTTTATAGTTCCTGAATTTCATATCACACTTATAAAGTCTGCCTCTACTTTAAGTTTAGAATTTTCTCATTTTATCTTCTAATACTTTATAGTTTCTTTCTTTACATGAAACATAATTTTTTAAAATCATAGACTTTTGGGCCGGCCAAGTGGCACGTTGGTTAAGAGCTGGCTTGGGACACCAGAGGGCCCCAGTTCGGATCCCACATATGAGGGCCAGTGACACTGCTCTCTACACCTAAGATGCTGAACAACAGATCAACCTGGGCTGCCGTGAGTCGCTGGTGATGGTATAGGCTGCAGCCCCTGCTGTGGTGGGTTGCCATGGGCTACCGTGTGTAGCCAGCAGCCGCAGTGAGCGGCCGTCCAGAGGCTGGCGACTGATCTGCCTCACCTGGGAAGAGCACAATGATGGTGCCAACTTGGGCCAGTGAAGCAACGTCCTCCACAACTAGACTGAAGAACCAAAGGACAGCAACTTGTCTGTTCCCCTTCCCCCAATTCCCCAATTAAAAAAAAAATAAAATCATAGACTTTTAACTTTTTTGGCAGTAATAGTTGTTTCTTTCTCCTAGTTTCCCCCAAATACTGAAGAATATAGCAGACATTTAACATATCAGGATCACTTTAAGACACAGCTCCCTTATTAAATATATAGTAAAAACAGCCTATCTGTAAAAACAGATAACTGACTATGGACAGTATGTAAGGTAAGTAAAACTATTATCCCCACACATCAGAATGTAAGCTAGGTTCCACTATGTTAAACTGGAGTCACTTTCTAGAATATAAATTATTATGTAAAATACTTCAGCCACACAATGCTTGATTTGATTCACTATGATGATAGCACTCACATCAATATAATATATATAAATATTCAAGAAAAATGTACAAAATCTATTAAAAACAAAAAAATTTCTATTGAAAAAAACCTCAACTAAAATGCTTTTAAAATGTTCTAGTGTTAGGAATTTACTTTTTTAATCTTTAAACACCACCTTTATACTAATCATAAATGTCAAAGATATATGAAACAAATTTTGTTTCAATCGTGCTTTCAGTTAAGAAATGACAGGATGGTTTAGGTAAAAATCAAGTTCTGTTTTTGTAAGCAAATACTCTGTAAAAAATTATAAGATAATATGATCAAATTAAATACACCCAAATAAGGTTTTCCCCTACTAACTAAACAATTTAAAACAAGTCCCAATTCAGCAGAAGTTACTTCTCTTTTTCTCCCAGTGACAACACTGATTCTTCTGACTTGTTTCTTCATTACTTTTAATCTGCCTTTGCTACCCAATGTAACTTTTAAAAGAATAGCTAACGAGGCACTTTACTATTGTAACCGAAACTCAAAAATTTTGACACTTATCCCAGTTTCAACTGATACATAGTGAATCATTCCTATGTCTATTAAATTTCTCACCTGAAATCTAATTTTATGTTCATGACTAATTCAAGTTATTTCCAGGGAATATTTTCTAAGTTAAAATGAAATCATGAAACAATACAAACGATAGCTTTACCTGATAAGGACATGGGATGTGGTACTGGCGACAATGGTCAGCAACCCATGTTATCTCCCAGGTAATCCTATTCACTTGCTCGTAGACATAACATCCGAGAAGTGTCACTAATGGCACGAGATACAGGCCACTGAAGACTCCAATTCGAATCATAAATTTCTTTAGTTTCTCTTGGTTCCGGCCATCATGTTGTATAACTTGTCGCACATGATTTAAGGAAATAATGCCAGCTAAAAGAAGAGACAGCCCAACAAACACACAAAAGCACAATGGCAAGAGTACAAAGTAACGAGAAGCATCCAGGTCATAAAGGCCGACAAAGCAAACGCCACTAATGTTGTCTCCCTCAACTTTGTTCATGGCAAGAAGCATAACAGTCAGAAAACCTGGTATTCCCCATGCAACGGCATGAAACCACACTGCTTTTTGTTCAATGGCTTCACAACTCCACTTTCTTCCTGCAGCTAAGAACCAAGTAATGGTAAGGATCACCCACCACACAGTGCCAGCCATTGTGAAAAAATACAAAAACATAAACAAAACGGTACAAGCCTTATTTTGAGAGCCCAGAACAACTGTATCACCAACTTCTAGCTTCTCATCTGCCTTATTGCAGGCTGTGCTATTGCCCAATAAGAATCCAATAAAGTACATGAGAGATACAATGCTGTAACAGACAGAGTAATATATAATTGGTCTCTCTGGGTATCTGAATCTTTTAACATCAATTAAAAAAGTAAGGAATGTGAACAGAGTTGCACAAAGACAAAATATTGAAACTATTCCGATAAAACTTTTTGCAAACTCGAGCTCATCACTTTTAAAAAACATGTTGGGGCATGGAGGTGCACATTGGTCAATTCCCAGAAACTTATAGCCTTGTCCCCCGGAAGTCTTAAGATGCCTTGGACACCAAATTCCAATGTCTCTTTGGATTTGTTCTGTTTTCTTCTGAGGACCAAGAAACTCTGTGTGTGGATCAAAAGTTACAGGAACAGTCTCATCACAGTATTGTAATCTGTAAAGATTATAAAAATGAAATATATAAAGTCAACATTTTTATTGGGTCATTATTTTAATGCTATGCTTTCCAACTATAAAATAATTCCTTATGCATTCATAATACAAACCTAAATAGATTACAGGTTAGAGTTGGGTAGAAAGTTTTGAAGTTGACTAAAAACTTATAGTTGCTAATAAGGCTCCAAAACACTAAAATATATATTATTAAATACAGGGCAAGTGAACATAAAAATTCCCTTACTTAGAAAACAATAATTTTTAAATAATTTCTGCTCTCAAGACTAAATATTTAAGAAAAAAAATTTATCTTGACTGGTACTCTCCAGTCAAAAAAAGTGCTAGCTTGTCTGTTCATAAACATATGAAATATAAGTCTTGGGAAAATTAATATTTATTATCTAATGCCCACGAGCAAAGTATATAAAACACATGGTAAGGTGATGACCAAAGTAAGATCCTTTCCTGGATTGATAGGGTAAAGTTCAAGTGAGCTCTAAGTTCTTAAAGAAGGATAGGAAGATCCCCAGGAGGAAGGCTGAGGACCAGCTTAACTCACATCGCCATTTTGTTTTGGTTTGGCTGTTAGCCTCCCTTGTTTATGGGCACACCTGAGTGATACACAGGAGAATTTGTTCAGTGCAGAGCTTTACCACTGAGCCAAGTGTCTACACACCAGTATTATTTTGGAGGATCTATATGATTTAGAAATTAGTGGGGGTTTTAATAAGAAAGCATTTTAAATATATTTTAGATAAGAATAGAAAATAATAAAATGTATGCCCATAAAAAACACTCATGTATCTACCAGCTTTTTCAAAACTTAATATTATGTCAGTTTTCCTTTATATCTTTTAAAATGAAGCGATACAACATTACAGATATAGCTGGGGCCCCTTTCTGGTTCTATTCTCTTTTCTCTCCCCAGAAATATTCATTACTACAAGTTCAGTTCTTATTCTCTTCATGTATTTTTTGTATTCTCACTGTTATTTTCTAACTATAATGGTAAAGAGTTGTTTCACAGGTTTTGAACTTTATATAAATGACATCATATATATTATGCTGTATATATCATACTATAACTTCCTTTTTTTACTTAACAGTATAATTTTTAGATTTATCCATATTTACAGATGTGGGTCAACTGCATTCATTTTATCAATTGTATGGTAGTATTCTCGCGTGTAAGCACATCATAATTTACCAATCATTTTTACAATAGACATTTAATCTTTTCCCATTTAAAAAAATTAGGAATGCTAATTTTTTATCTGTGATTTCTTATTCATGTAAAAGTTTCTATGCAAGGGAGTTTCTAGGATATAGGGTATAAGCATCTTCAAGTTTACTATATACAGTTCACCCTTAAACAGCCTGGGTTTGGGGCTGGCCAAGTGGCGTGTTGGTTAAGAGTTGGCTTGGGATGCCAGCTCTGAACAGCAGGGCCCCGGTTCAGATCCCACATGGGCCAGTGACGCTGTGCCTTCTACAGCTAAGATGGTGAACAACAGCTCGACCTGGAGCTGGGCTGCTGTGAGTTGCCGGCGACGGCTTGGGCTACAGTGGAGCTGCAGTGGGCTGCTGTCAAAAGCTACTGTGAGTGGCTGGCAGCTGGAGTGAGCTGCCAAGAGCCGCTGTGAGTGGTCGTCCAGGGCCCAGTGACCGATCTGCCTCACCTGGGAAGAGCGCAATGATAATACCAATATGGGCGAGTGAAGCGACATCCTCCACAACTAGACTGAAGAACAAAAGGACAGCAACTTGTCTGCTCCCCTTCCCCCAATTCCCCAACACTGTTCCCCTCCCCGACTTCCCAAATAAAATCTTTAAAAACAAACAAACAAACAAAAACAACCTGGGTTTGAACTTCGTGGATCTACTTACACGTGGTTTTTTTTTTCAACAAATACTGTAAATGTATTTTCTCTTCCTTACAATTTTCTTAATAACATTTTCTTTTCTGTAGTTTATTTTATTGTAAAAATACAGTAATACATATAACATGCAAAATATGTATTAACTGACTGTTTATGTTATTGGTAAGGCTTCTGATCAACAGCAGGCATTTTTTGGGGAGTCAAAAGCTATTGCAGATTTTTGATTACATGGCGGGGGTGTGTGTGTCAGTGACCCTAACCTCATGTATTGTTCAAGGATCAACTATGTCACTCAGTTGTTCTTGAAAATGGTTATGCATCTACCAAAAGTATATGAGTTCCACAAAGATTCTATACTTTCCACAGTTTACAGATAAAGAAACAAATAGCCAGCTTCCTTCCCAGATTTATGACAAGAGGTCTCATAATATCAATAGAATATTTCAAATTACAAGCTCCCAGTGAGAATAGGAGACAAAGTAATTAATCAAGAGTAATGTACAAGGGCCGGCCGAGTGGCTCAGTTGGTTAAGAGCTCGCTCAAGAGTTTGAGCTCTGAGCAACAGTGGTTCGAGTCCAGCCCGAGCTGAGCAGCCCCTGAGCTGCCAACAGGTAGCAGGATGGCTCAGCTAAAAAACAACAACAACAACAAAAAAAAAGAGTAATGTACAATAGGGTCAGTGAATTGATAATAAGGTCCCTTTCCCCCAGTTAAGGTCAAAGGCACCATTACCTGTTCTCATTTAACTATACACCTCTCCTTTGTCATAACTAGCACAGCTGTATATTTGCATTTACTTGTATAATTATTTGAATACTTTCCATTCCTTCCACCCAATTGTAAGTTCACTGAGAATAAGAACCATGTCTGTTTTTGCTCACCATTGTGTCCACAGCACATATCACCACAAGTGCCTGACACATAGTAAGTGTACAATAAACATTTGTTGAATTAAATAATGAAAGCCTGACATTAACATTCTGGAAAGCTAACACCAATATAAAATATCATTAGTAGCTTTCAGTTGAAAACATAATTTACCTGTCACATTTAAGTTCCTCAGGCCATTGGATCCCAAAAGTGTCAATTAATTTTTTGCAATCAGAATATACTCTCTCACAAAATTTACGACAAGGTGGAACTACATGGATTTGCTCTGTGCAGGTTGGTACAAAAGCTTTGCAAAGGAAAGTTTCAACATTTGGTGAACATTCCAAATTTGCAAGAGGAAGAAAATGCTATTAAGGAAAACAGCAAGATAAGGTTAGAAAACATTTTAATAACAAATGAAAGAAATTAACTTATTTACTATTTAAAGTGTATACATTTTAACTGAAACTCCAAAATAATCTTTAAATATCACTCTCCATACAATCAAATTTTGTTTAGTCTATTAGAGATCATTTTGTTAAGTCTGTTTAGACTTAGGTACTTTCAAACACAATGCAATATTATTATTTTATTTAATTATACATTTTTCAAGAAGACATGCTAAATCTGCAAATCAAAAGCATGAGTTAATTGCTAGGTAAAATAAATTATACAAATGTTCAATTTATAAGCATATGTTGAAATACCTTAACACTATTCTGGGCATTCTGGAGAAGAAAGCAGTGTTTAGGGCAGAGAGAACAGAAAAAGGTGTGAGGATCACGAGAGCATGGTGCATTTAAGGCAAAAAGTTCAGCGTGACTAGAATATAGGTCGAAGAGGTGGCATCAAGGACAGGAGATATATATATATATATATATATATATATATATATANATATATATATATATATATATATATATATATATATATATATATAGAGAGAGAGAGAGAGAGAGAGAGAGAGAGAGAGAAAGAGAAAGAGAAGGAAGACTGCAGAGGTATGCTGGGCCTGATCATGGGGAGCACAAATCGCAGGCTAATTGCTTGGATTTTAAAATAAAGAAATGGGATACTATGGGTGAGTTTTAAGCAGGAAGTGACGCTAGAGTCTGACAGCTGAGTGTAAATCCTCGGTCCACACTTTCTGGCTATGTAACTTTGGCAAGTTACTTAACTTCTCTGTGTCTTAATTTCTTCATCTGTAAAATGGTAATAACAACAGTACTTGTCTCATAAGATTGTTATGAATATGTTGGGTTGTTGGAAAAGTCATGACGCATTTTTGCAACGAAAAACATAAAAAAAAAGACATCATGACTTTTCCAACAACCCAATACTAAGTTGATGTTATAAATGTCAGTACTCAATAAATGTTAGTTATTGTGATGATTATACCTTAGAGTGCAGGGGTGGATTCTGGATAAACATAGCATATTGACCACATATGGTTTTCTTTCTCTTGTTCCCTCACAAAATGACAATAAAGAGAAAAAGGTGCTACTCCATTATTGAATGAACAGGAGAGACTACATTCGTGTACTTGAGTTTCCCGAAGAACAAAAACAAAACACCTAAAAAGAAAGCCCCCAAACTCTGAGTGACAGAGAGCTGTTGGAGGAGTGCGAGGTGACTTAGTTGGACATGGAGGTGGATTATAAAGGAGTGGAGGGGGGATGAGCTCATTTGCCCTAAAGAATCTGCAAGTCAGCTCTTTCAGGCACCAAGCAGCATAAAAGGCTAAAACTGGGGGAATGTGTACAAATCAGTTCCTCTCTCGATTATCCCTGCACCCCCACCCCAGGCAGCCAGGTGACCACCAAATCCTGCCAGAGTTGTTTCCAGGAGACATGATGCTAGAGATGCTCTGCACTTGGGAGGTCGGGCACCGAGCTGGGCAGAGGTATAGCGCAGTGAAAAGAGGCTGAGCTGGGTAACGGTCTATCTAGAGAAAAGTGAAGCTCTCACCTTCCTTCACCTGCTCTGTTCCTAAAAGATTGGAAGACAGGCACATACCACCCACCATCCCCAATCTTTGGAAAATCGCAAATCTTGGGGGGAAAGACCTCTACAATTTGACAATGAAAAAGCCTGAGTTCACCTTACTATGAAGCCCACCAGTAACAAGCCCCATTTATGCACACGAAGCTTTTCAGTGCCCCACACAAATATAAATGGTTGCCAAGAATCATCAGGCATTTGAAGGAAGCCTTATGAAAGACAGAAACAAAAACAAGCAAGCAGATAAAATGAAATTTGGAGAAAACAGAGATTATACAGCGAACAGAACAAAACAAAATAAATCACAAAAAACAAAAAACGTTAATATCTTAAATGAGAAGCTACTGCACCTATTAAAAAATAGGATGCTATGGAAAATTAAAATATTAGGACAGCTGGAATAAAGAAATCTATAGAAGGAGTAGAAAATAAAGCTAAGGAAAGAGATTGACAATCAGAGAGAAAATCCTCCCAATCAGATGGTCAGTCTAAGTGTCCAACACCTAAGTGGGTTTCAGAAAGAAACTGAAAATATAGGTGGGGTGATCATCAAACAAAGAACATAAGAACATTTCTCAGGACAGAAAGATACTAGTCTTCAACATGAAAAGGCTGGCATCACACTTTGCAATCCTACTACTAAAACATTTCTGGGCTAAAACTTCAGTCAATTAACTCTCTTTTGCAGGGATCTCTCTCACATTCTCCTCTTTCCAAACCTCTAATTCCACACCCCATCCTCTCAGTTGATGATTTTGTTCCTAGTTCACTGAGAAAACAGAAACAACCAGATAGTTTCCTTATCCTTTAATTAAATGTACCAACATACCTGCAGCATATCCATATTCTCTGCCTTCTCTATTTCAATAAATGAACAGCTCGAACTAATCAACCAAGTCCTCCATTTGTACACTGGCCCCTCTCCACTTGACTAGCCAAGGACTTTGCTTCTGCAACTGTCTACTCTTTTTGCAATAATCTCCCCCTTCTATGCTACAGTGATTCCTCCATCAGATAAACTTGCTCTATTATCTCCCACCATAGAAAACACACACACATACACACACACACACACACACACACACACACACACACACAAAACATCTTTCCTTACTCCATCCAACCACTGTTCCATTTTCCTATTCCCCTTTATGGAAAAATCCTCAAAATTGTCGTCTATGCTCACTTTCTCCAATTCCACACTTCCCATTCCCTTTTGAGTCCCCAATGAAAACTGCTTGTCAAAGTCACCATAAACTCCACATTGTCAAATCTAACGGTAAATTCTGAGCCCCTCATCCTACTCAAATCTTAATGACATTTGACATAGTGGATCCTGCCCTCCTCCTGAGGTATTTTTGTTTTACTTGGCTTCTAGGATATCAATTCCCCTGGATTTCTATCGATCTCTCTGGCTGTTCCTTTTCTGATCCACTTCCATTTCCCAATTCTAAATATTGCATAGCTCCAGAGCGCAATCCTCAGACCTCTTCCCAATCTATGCTCAGTGCTCAGGGGAAACTCATCCAGAACCATGGTATTAAATACCAACTATACATGAATCCCCAAATTTATCTCTCATTCCCATCTCTCCTGTAAACCCTAGACTTTGGAAGTGAGGAATTGGAATGCCAAATTACATGATATTTTGAGCATCTGGGAAAATTGCTGCTAGGTGTCTGACAAGTCTGTTAGGACATCTGAAAAAAGTTAGTCATAGATACATAGAAAACAAAGCAAATGGGGAAAAATGCAATTAGTCCATTAACTATGGGTAATGGACTTAACAGGTAAGTAAAGAAATTAATGCAATCAAAGTATACTACTTGACTCCATAATACACAACATTTAATATTCCTAGTAATGTTAGCACTATTGATTTAACCAAAAATTGTATTAGGTTGGGAGGAGAAATAAAAGTGGTGAAGAGATATAAATTGTCAACTACCATAACAGAAAAAAATAAACAGATCTGCCTGAAGTTCTGAATTGATAAATCAATAAATAACAGACTAAGCATACTAGTTAGAGTACAGTAAGTCCTCATTTAATGTCATTGATAGGTTTTGTGACTTTAAGTGAAACATAAAACCAATTTTTATCATTGGCTAATTGATATAAACAGGAGATAGGTTCCTATGGCATCTCATCATTATAACAAAAAATGTTGAACAAAACAACGTTTTTCAAGAAATTAATATTTTGGGGCTGGCTGAATGGCTCAGTTGGTTAAGAGTTGGCTTGGGAGCATGAGCTCTGAGCAGCAGGGCTGTCAGTTCAGATCCCACATGGGCCAGTGACACTGCGCCCTCTACAGCTAAGATGGTGAACAACAGCTCAACCTGGAGCTGGGCTGCCATGAGTCGCTGATGGCGTAGGCTGCAACCCCTGCTACAGTGGGCTGCCATAAGCTATCGTGAGCGGCCGTCAGCCAGCATGTGCTGCCGTGAGCCTCCGTGAGCGGCCGTCCAATGACCGGTGAACAACTGCCTCAGCCAGGAAGAGCTCAATGATCACAATACAACATGGGCCAGTGAAGCAACGTCCTCCACAACTAAACTGAAGAACAAAAGGACAGCAACTTTTCTGTTCCCCTTCCCTGATTCCCCAATGCTGTTCTCCTCCCCCAATTCTCCAATAAAATCTTTAAAAAAAAAAAGAAATTAATATTTTTTACTGTATAGCTACACATCAGAATAACACCTAAAAGAGTTCAAATTGGCTCCCTTTGGATAATGGGAGTGGTGAAAGGTGAGCTGCTGTTTTTCTCTTAAAAGCCTTTGATATAGAGGGTTTTTTCAGCTTTATTCGGGTATAAATGATATACAATAAACTGAACATGTATAAAGTATACAATTTGATGGGATTTGAAAGCATTACAACAACCAAGGTAATAAACAGATCTATCATCACCAAACGTTTCTTCTTGCCCCTTTATAACCCCTCCCTCCTATCTCTCTTCTCACACCCCACCCCCCATAACCTCCCACCCCTGGCAACCAGTCACCTTTCTGTCACTATAGAGTGGTATTTTCTAGAATTTTACATAAATAAAATCATGGCATATGTACTTTTTTTGGTCTGGCTTCTTTCACTCAGCATCATTTGAGATTCATCCATGTTGTTCCATGTATCAACAGTTGATTCTTTTTAGTTGCTGAGTTGTATTTCATTGTATGGTTATACCATAATTTGTTTATCTATTCACCTACTGATGGACAATTTGAAGTGTCCATGGGACATTTGAGCATGGATGTCTATCTACTAGTAAGCAATGCAACAGAGCTATGTAGGTGAAAGACTTTAGGTTAAGAATATAGATTTGAAAGTCATCATTATAAAAATTGTAACTGAAATAACTGAATTA